CCACCACCTTGGAGGATGAGCAGTGTCCCTTACTCCTCTAGACGAAGAACAAGACCCACATCTTTAGCACCTGGCACAGGGCCAGGCAGGGTCTCACTCTGTAGGCCAGGCTGACCTGGAACCCATGATCCTGCTGCATCAGCCTGTCTAAGCACTGGGATCACAGGCATGTGGCACCACGCCCAGCTTCTAACTTTTACATGTAATTTACATATACTTGAATAACTTGTGCCACTTATCAAAATTAAAAATATATCCAGGCTTTAATTTCTTCTGACAGTAAGCATATACTCTACAAAAAATTAAAGTCAGCCTTTATGTATTTATTTATTCAGTGTATTTGATGGATGGAAAGAAAGAAGAGGTAGATTGTCAAAAAAGTAGCTTCACCAGAAAATTCCAAAGATTTCAGGAAGAAATAAAACCAATCAGACACAAACTAGTGCACAAAATAGAGAAAGGAAGGATTCCCAACTCATTTTCTGAGGTTAGCATCACCCCAATACCAAAACAAGGAAGATATATTATAAGAAAACACTGCACATCAGTCTATCAAGAACACTGACAAAAAAATCATCAATATATTAGCAAAGTGAATTCATCAATATATGAAAAGAGTAACAATCACAGCCCACTGCTCTCTGCCCTGAGGATGAAAGGCTGATTAAACATTCAAGTATCAGTGCTACTAACTATAACAGACTAAAGTGTCCACCTTCATGGACACGGGAAAAGCAGCTGACAACGTTCAATATGTATCCATGAAAAAAATACCCTAAGCAAGCCAAGAACAGCAAGAACTCCTAATGAAGGGCATCCGTGAAAAATTATAGCAGACACCCACCAAGGTAAAGGATCAGATGTTTATTCCATAGAACTGGTACAAGAAAAGTGTCTTCTTTTACAATTCCTAGTCAGTATTTGACAGGAAGTCATAGCCAGTGAGTAGAATAAAGGGAAAATTATTTTAATTTCAAAAAATAACAAACTTACAGATTAGAAAGAAGTATAATGGTCTGTACTCACAAGTGACATGATTTCATATATAGAAAATCTTAAGGAACTTGTTTCGAATTAAAAGCTTATCAAGGTTACAAAATATAGTCAATATGCAAATGCAAATTGTTAACTGCATTTCTGTAGGCTGACAACAAACAACTTGAAAATGAAATTTGAAAAACACCATTTACAACACAACCAAACCATAAAAACCCCAAGGATAAACTGAGAAAACTGTATTATTAAGACTTCACCCTGAAAACTGTAAGTCTGGTAAGATGAAGTTGTTGATGGACTTATCAATATTGGTAATATATCACTCTTCCCCAAATCGATCTAGATTTAATGCATTCGTGATCAAAATCCCAGCAAGTGTCTTTTGTAGAAACTGACAAGTTGATTCTAAAATTATGAGGGCTTTCGAAAAACCTAGAATAGCTAAAACAATTTTTTTTTTTTTGGTGGTAGTGGGGATTGACATCAGGACCTTGTACTTGCCAAGCAGGCGCTTTACCACTTGAGCCACAGCCTCAGCCCTTTTTGCCTTAGTTATCTCTCAAATAGGGTCTCACTTGTATGCCAGGCTGGCCGAGGCCACGATCTTCCTGGCATAAGTCCTGGCATGGCTGGGACGACAGACACATTGCTACTGTGAGTAGCCACTAGTCGAAATGGGGTCTCACAGACGTTTTTGCCTAGACTGGCCTTGAACATTGCTCCCGATTTCAGCTTCTGAGCAGCTAGGATCACAAGTGTGAGGCACTGTGACCAACTAACAATTCTTTTTTATTAAAAAGGATACAGTTCAAATATTACATTGTGCAAATTCAAGTATTACCACAGACTACAGTTATAAAACAACAGTTCACCGCTGGGACGCTGCCAGAAAACTACTCACACAAGTCAGTGGAGGAGCATCTGGACACAGATTCATGTGTGTGCTGCCACAGGACTGAGAAGGGGAAAGGAAAGTCTCTTCCACAGATTGTCTCTATATAAAAAACAAATGATCCTCAGACTTTCGCTCACGTCATGTACAATGACGTCATGTACAATGAACTCAAAGCAGATCAGAGAGGTTAATGCAAAAAAACTAAGACTACAATACTTCTAGAAGAGTATATACACAGGAGCAAATCCTCACAGCCTTGGAGTAGGGCAGAGATCACTCAGCTAGGTTGCAAAAATCTCAGACTACTTTTTCACAGACACTCCTAAGAAAGTAGAAAGGAGATGGTGCCTGGTCATCAAGGGGAAGTAGGCTCTGCAGAAATGTCATGTCTCAGAGTGCAAGAGACTAAGGCTTAGGCCAGGATAAGGTAAAGGGAAGTCCAATATGGCAGACATGCAGGCAGCCTAGGCTGCCACCAACTAGTCTGAGGCAGGACAAGGTCCCAGACTGATGCTACAAAGAAAGAGAAACTCAGCTCACTTGACAGGCCTCAGCTGCTGAAGCTTGTGAGGCTCCACAAATCCACAGAGGACTCTAGGAATGCAGCAAAACGTAAGGAGGGCTGCAGGGAAGCTCGAGCTTGCTGGACACTGGGAAACGGATGCTAAGAATAAGGAGCACATTCAGCCTGACCTACATGCTGCATCCAAGGACCCAGGCCCAGGAGAAAGCCTATGAAAGCAGAGCTTCCCAGCTACCACCAGAGAAGTCGCCCAGGGAAAACCAGCAATGTAAGGAACGTAAGCACCTCTGGAAATGCTAAGGACACAGCAAAACGTGCAATACACATAAAAATAATGGATGAGAAAAAAGAAAGTGTTATGAAAATTGAAGCAAGAGAAACAAGGAAAGGAATGTGGGCTGTGAAAACAGGTGCCCTGACACAGTAACATCAAGACTGACTATCAAGTGTCCAGAGTCCCCGTGTGACCTGAGGGGACTGAGGACAGGGATGGAGAGCCACATGAGCTTTAAGTGCTGTTTATCACAATCTTGTATCAGTAGGTATGTCTATTAAGAACAAGTCAGAAGCCAAAATTTATTTAAAATATAGACGAACTGGATGTGACAGGGCACATCTACGGTCCCAGCTAGCTGAGGCAGAATAATGGTTTCAACCCAGGAGTCTAAAGCCACATTGGGCAACACAGCAAGTTCTCGTTTCAAAAATGAAAAAGAAAAAAAAAAAAAAAATAGGGGTAGAAAACAGAATGAGTGCACAAGGAAAGTGATGTCTCTGGAGTACATGAAAATATTCTATATATCTGCGAAGTTCACAGGAAATAGGTACAGGAACATGGGAAGGTTTAGAAACACATGGCAAATGCACAAGAAACCTGATCAAGGAAGGAACGCATCCTCTCCCCAAAGAAGTATGGACAAAGGTAATGAGCAGGCACTCTACCACAGAAGAAATTAAACAGCAAACACACTACTTTTTAAACTACTATTTTACCCATGAGTGAAGAAAGGAGACATTAATTCTTGTCTTCCAAACTGGCAAGGATTTTTTAATATCCAATTCATGGGAAGACATGGAGAAAGACACTCACGCAGACTAACAGCAAGAAAAGGACGATATACCTTTAACAGTCAGATCTGGCAAAAAAACAAGAAAAGGTCCTTAAAATGCACATCTTTATCACACCATTCTCTGGGCAGAGTTGTGGTCTGAGGAGATTATGGTAACAGTGCAGAAAGGCAAGGCATATAGCAGAGAAAAGATGAGAGGGAAGGCTGAGGCCATGACCAGGCGATGGGGAGACACTCACTACCCAAGCTCAGTTTATATGAACTGTACTTCGATAGATAAGCTAGGACTGTGTATTACATGCAAACAAATAGAAACTGTACAGATTATCAAAATGTCAGTGGTAAGATTATGGGTAGTTTACATTTTGTCCTTTTTTTCCACACATCTGTAGTTTCTAAATTTTCTATAATAACCATGTAATTTCTTTTACAATAAGGAGGAGCCTGTTAAAGAAAAGTTAAAATATGAACTTTTGGCCAAAGGAAGTTCTTGTTAGGGTTTCAGGAATGTCTCCATAGAAATATGCAGCAGTGCTGAACACCATTTTTAACCCAGCTCCTATGGGTGTTCCCTACTGCATGGTATCAGATGAATCAGGGTGCCCACACCCAGAGGCATCCTTATGGGCAATGTGGCAGAGCAGAAACAGCACTGGCCAGTATCAACATCCAAACAAGGCCTGGAGAATCTGCAGTGAGACCTAGCAAAGCCAGCAGCTTTCTGCCCTGCACCTCCTACAGACTGCACTATAAGGGGGTCTGCTCACCCAATTCTCCAAACAACATCTGAGGTGGAAACTCAGGGCAGGACAACTGTCTGAGCAGAAGTCTGGCACAGTCTTTCCCAATTTCTGACATACAGTGTGCTTTGTCACAGTGATGGCTGAGATCTTCAGGGGGCAAAGGGAGTCACTGGCCTGGCTTTGGACACACAGACTGCATGACCAGAGACTTTACAATGTCCCACACTATTTCTTCTTCATCACACAGATACAACTTTGCCTGGGGCTACACAATCTTGTCTCCTCTGCTTCTCAATGTCCTCATTTGAACAGTTTTACAAATAAAAAGGCTCTATACCAAAGGTTTCATAAGGAAGCTTATAAATAAATGCATACTTCTAAAGATAAACACTCTTTATAAACAGATGAAAACTACACTGTAAGCTTCTGAATGTACGAGGAGAAAGAAAGGTCCTTAGGAAGACACCATGTGACTTCGGAGGATCCTTTCTAACACTGAGTGCTCCTTTACTGAACAGATGCCTAAGATAAAAATGAATCTACACTCATTGTTCTAACCACACACACTGCATTTTCAAATACTAACGCATCTCACTCCACTCTCAGTGCTCACAAGTAAGAACTGTCTGCTTTGTTTCTAACTATTGCAGACACTTTGCTGGACACAGTATTATATATGCAGCCTGCAGTGACAGGACAGTAGCCAAGGTCCCAGTGTGAGAGACATGAAGTGTGTTGCTCTCAGGGGAAAGGAAGGCTGGGCAGGCACTCACCTTGTTGATCCAGAACACCATGGCATCCTCAAGGTCATATGGAAGTTCTTTCGAGGCGCTGAATGTGGAGAAGCGCTTAACGCTGGCCACCACCTTCTCAATGCTGATCATCTCCACTGTGTAGGCCATCATGAGAGCATCCACCATCGCCATGTGGGCACTCTAGGGTCAAAGGCAGCAGCTTAGCACCCTATGCCTCCTCTCCCATCAGGACCCAATTCAGGGAACCTTTCTGTCTTTCTCTCCCACCTTGCACAGAGGGACTCTAACACCTGAGACCTGCACATCCCTGTCACGGCCCATGAGCCCTAGGACAGTTAAGAGTGGCAATCCAGATTCCTCACCTCCTCACCCCCACCCCCACCCCCAGCAGTCCTCTGAGCTTCCTCTGTAGGTAGAGTGCTACTGTTCACGGCCATGGGAAAACGGTGGGAAGAGGTTGCCAGAAATGTCTGCCACCTAATTCTCTGGCTGCCAGCCAGGGCCCCACCCTAAGACTGCACCCTGCCTTTATGCTGCCTCTTCCCATAGCACGAGAAACTTTCTCTTCACCCACATGTCACCCTTAAAGTCTGAGTGAAAAACCTACAGAATGAAAAATGCCAGTGAACAGCCTAAACAAAAAACAAACAAACAAAAAAAATGCAGAGCAACAATAAGCTGAGTGCTAGGCTGGTCTGGAGAGCTGAGGCAGAGCACAGCCTTGGAAAAGAACAGGCAGAGACCTGCCTGGGAAGAAGAGTGTGCCAACTGATTCTGGCATAAAAAGATCCCCAAGATGCTATGTGCAACCATCCAGTAGGATGGGCTCAACAACTCCTTGATACACCACCTGCCACCACTGGCCTCAACACTTCCATTCACATGCCCCACTGTGATCTCGGTCTTACAGTGTTCACAATGAAAGGAATGCTGCTCTTTTTTCACTTTCCACAATGCTTACATGCTTAAAAAGAGAAGTGAATCAAGGATCATCAGTACACACGTGCAGACTTTACCACCTTGCTCATACAGGCTCACCTGTCTGGCATCTGGTTGCAGGGCACTGTGCCTGGCCTGGGCAGCTAAGTAAGCTACAGAGGACGGCTGGCATGCCCACCAGACACTCACCATCTTTATGGGTGCATGGCCGAGGTCAACATCAGTCACAGGGGTGTCGTCACTCTCCATCACATAGATCCCCTTCCTAGACAGGGCCTGAATGACAGACTGGTGTCCTTGTAAAGAGGCTGCCTGGTCTCCTTTCAGGATGAGGCTGCAGACACGACAGTACAGCTCACTGGACAGAAGTAGCTTGATAACAGGCGGTTTAATGTGCTCTTGCTCGTACTGGTCGATGTAAAAAGGGTCTCTAAGATCCTCAGGGATGTTGTCTAAGACAAGGAGAGAGCATTATGTGAGCGAGCACACATGAACCACAGTCTCCAAGCCCCGCCAGCAGGATAAGGACAATGAGTGCCTTTCAGTGCAATTCTGGCAAAAGCAAAGGTATAGCTGATCAACCGGGTGACTACTGACACACAAAGGTCCCAAGCCACTCAAGAGCTTAATTGTCACCTGCGTGAACAAACGCACACATGAAGTTCACACCCATGGTGACTACAGCAAAGCACTGCATTTCACGACTGCCACCATCACTTTGAAGATGGACTTTCAGACTCAAAAAGGCAAGATGCAGGTGTGGAAATCCTGAGGGTGTTAACAGGGCAGAATGAAAACCAGAGTGCAGTGAAGCTAGGATAGTGCAGTGCCTGGGGACCTCAGAGAAGAGGGTGTGCAGGCACAGCTGCATCAGTTTTGGTGAGAGAGCTCAGCATGTCCTCCTCCTGGCATCAAGATCAGAGGTTACAACAGAGGCTCAACAGCCACATCTTTGCCAAACGCAGAGCCAGGCCTGGTGTCGGTGTAACCCTGACAGACTAGCGGCAGCTAGCCTTCACTCATCTTTGGACCAGGCAGCATTAAACTCTACACAAATCATGCTTTAATGGGCATTTTAAATCCATCAAATCAGGACTACCGCCCCCCACCCCCATTACAGATGAGGAGGCTCAGAGAAAGGATATGATGTAGCCAAGGTCATGGGAAGAAGAAACCAACTCTGAACCCACACCATCTGGTCCCCAGTACAATCACTGCCTGTCACACACATACACACACTACCAGGAAGTCAAACGCATACACACCAGGCAAATGTGTTAGCACTGGTACCATCCCCTTTCTGTACTTTCCCAGCAATGAAACTTATCAACAGCTGCTCCCAAGGGGTGGGAGGGTCTTTGCAGCCAAATCTAGAAAATGCAAAGTTCCACACAGGAAGGTTCCAGATCTTCAATGTTCCATACCCACAACTGCAAGGCAGTGCAGCTTGGGGGCGTTCTGGAACCATCCCACTTCCAGAAGAGTTTAGAAAGGGTCACCATCTTTAAGAAAACACCATCATTCAGCGTTGAAACCTAATGGAGATTTCCCACTGCCAGTGGACACTCCAATTGCTCTCCCTGAGCCAGGTCCAGGTGCTCTGATGTCCAACCTGAGGGAAAGAGCTGACTCTTCAGTAACCCTCAGAAGCACCCCTCTCTTCCTCAGCTCCCTTCTCCCTTTGTTTCTTACAGATAGTGTTGTCTCAGACCCAAGATTAATTACAGGCCTGTGGATCCTTGTCATTTCCCTTAACTCTTCATTCTCAGTTTTTTTACTTCTAAACAGCATGGCCAATGTTTACGTAGCATTAAAGTTTTGAAGCACGGTTGTGCACAGAGAATCTGGTCACCCCAGTAACCATGCAACTTGTCAGCTCCAGCACTGGAGGTGCTCTGCACAGGCTTAGTGGAGATCACCAGGCTGAAATCTCACAATCACTAATCACATTGGGTAGCCATCTACAGTTTTGAAACAAAACAAATCTTATCTATAAAAGGGCACCAATGTAAGAGTGAGATCGCCCAAGAACTAGAGTACACTGGCCAGGACTCAATGGGTAGCCTGCAAAATGCACCCACAGTGGCTGTGTGGCCTGGTTCTAAACAGGTGCAAGTCAGAAAAGGGCTCTGAACTAGAGAGTCCTATAATCTGATGATGTTTCTAGATGTTCACATTGCTGCTAGGAAAAGGACACAATGGTCATCTTCAGCCTTCATCTTACTCGGTGACCAGCAGCAGCACTGAGCAATGGTCAGGGCTCCCAACAAGAGCCACCCTTCACCTGATTTCCAGGACATCTCACCTACCCTCTACTCTCTTTCCGCCTCACTGCTACTTCCATCTTCTGTTCAGTTCTCCTTTGTTTGTCCCAAGATTATAAGGGGCGTATCCTACCTCATGTCCCAGGCGGCCTCATGGCTTGAAAGGCCAGAGATGCATGGTCATCACCAAATGTATACTCTAGTCTCCAAGCTGGGATTTCTAGAGTACCTTGAGCTGCACTGGCTGGCTCAGACCACCCTCCCTCTCACCTGGATGACTGGAAGTGCTCCCCTCTAGGAGAGCAGAAACTAGCACAACTCAGGGAGACCCTGCAGGGTTCTGGCTCTGCCCAAGGGCAAGAGGACACAAGAACCGGCAAGAGCTGGCCTTTGATAGAAGCAGAGAAACCACAGGGTGTATGCTGGAGCCCCAGACATTGCATGAGGACACATCTGACCTGAATGTGGAAGCTAGCAACACTGAGAAAAAAGGCCAGGCCATGAGCTGTCTCTCTCCTGAATGGCTGGCCAATGGAATGGAAATGTTTCCCTAGGCCACTTTTAAACAGTCCGCATGAAGTGGTTCACACCATCCTTCTTTGAATCCTGTACAAACGGGAATCATGAGAGCAATTCCTGTATACTTCAGATTGAAGATAAGGGAGCTAAGGGATGGCGCGCCAAGAATAGCCCCAGATCCAGCAACGTCCTCCTCAGCATGCAAGCTTCTTCCGCTCCAGTCACAAGGTCTACTGCACCCCACGTGGGTGGTAATGGATCCCCAGTCCTCCAGGACATCCACTATCCACAGACAGAGCTCAATCACTACTGGGGAGCCCTGATCTATGCTTCTATTCTACTGTTAAAACACAGCTTTGTACATAAAATACCTCTAATCTATTTCTAGTAACTTACCTTTTTCATTTCTTCTATAAGCCACTAAGACAGTTTGTTAGAATTATTCATTCACTCAACAATTAGTAAGCACCTATGTGAGCCACGAAAGGTATGAAAATGCTGGGGAGCCAGAGGAAGTGAGTCACTGACCTGGGCTGAGGTTCTGAGGCTCTGAAGTGGACAGAAAAGCCAGCAGGCAACTTTCACAATGCATGCAATGTGTGGGGTAGGTACAGGACACTCAGGGTGCAGGAGACACTCTAGCACTTGAAGTGGGGTAGGATGTGCAGGAATGGGTGCTCCAGACAATAAGGAAATGTGAAAATGACCCTTGGGTAATTTTGAGGAAACTATATAGTTCATAACTGCACAACAGAGACAAACTTGACATTTCACTAATTCATTCAATAGATTCTTAATTGAGCACATGCCTGCCCTCACTGTGAGGCTGTCAGAGGAACAGGCAGGCTTATGTGCTCTGCAGGCACATAACAAGAGAATGGAATAGGTCAGGTTGAGTCAAGGAAGGCAGAGGACAAGAGTGCTATCTGCTAGTGTTCCCTGCACACAAAGTAGAGGACAAACCTGGATGCCTAGGAGGCTGCTAGAGGTGTGGGGGTGTAAAGAAGATGCCTACCTCTGACCCTGCCAGCCAGGCACAGGATGGGACATGTTACTAACAGAGAAAGCAGGTAATGGAGGATGGCTATGGGGGGAGAGGAGCTCTGTTCTGCACATGTAGCTCAGAGTTGCCTGTGGGGCCCAAGGGAGGCTTTCTGACGGGGACAGCATGTGGGAATCAGAAGCGCAAGAGACAGGAACAATGTTTGGCATCTGATACACAAACGTGAAAATTGATGCCCATGAGAGCTGAGTCACCCAGTAAGGGGGCAAAGTGAGAACCAAGGCTGGGCAAAAAAATCTGGCAGTGCACTGAATGCCAGGCAAGCAGAGGAAGAAATGCCAAAGAAAGGAACTGAGAGGTGGCCAGAGGAGGAGTGGGCAATTGTAGGGGCAGCACCCATTTCACTGCCACACACCAGAGGGGGCCACCAACATCATGCCCCAACAGTGGCAGGGACAGATCCACTCAGGGAGGAATGGCCTCCTCAGCTCTCCTGTTCTACACAGGTTCAGGTGTGAAAGTGTACAGACTGGGTTTCTAGCCAGAGGCCGGGAGGGGAGACCCTGAGAAAGTGAGGAAGGGATCCCAGAGAAGAAGGTGGATAAAAGGATCTTGGGATCTGTGTGTAATGTCTTAGACATCCAAATGGCACCCACTGCAACCAGTATGGCAACAATTAGGAGGGCTACACCATGGCTTGGTTTCTTGCTGGCACCCACATCAGATCAGAAGAATCAAAGGCCGTGTGCATACTCAGCCCATGGTGAACTGCAGCCCACCATTGGAGGGCCAGGACTTACCATCTCAAGCATGGTGGACTGGCTGCTGAAACAAACACAACACCAGCCTTCCCTAGATTCCTCACAGGCTCCAGAGTAGCAAAACATAACAGCCAAATGTCCAATATACCAGCCAGAATTACTCAACAAAGAAAAAGACAGGAATATCTGTAACTCCCAAGAGAAAAGCCAAATGTTGGAAATGTCCACCAAAGACTTTAAAGCAATTCTTATAACTATGTTCCCAGAAATAAGGGCAAACACTTGAAATAAATGAAAAAAACTCACAGAAAACTCTGGAGAAAAAGAAGTCAAGTGTGGAAGGGAACAAAAAAATCTAGAGCAGAAGGTGGCAGGTCCTGGGAACAGAGAGGTAGGTAGAACTTTGAACAACCCTCCTCAAAGAGCACTGGCCCACTGGCTTCAGACACTGAGACCATCACAATGCCCGAGAACCCACCCAACGTAGGGAGATCACAAGTAATGGCTGACCACCATCCCCAAGCTCCCATCTACAGGTTTGGGGTCACAATACAGAGACAACTCTTCTAAAAGGACACAGAGGGGACAAATGGGAACAGTGGAGCACAAACTGACATGCTTGAGTCCCTCCACCCTGAGGCAAGGCCTTCCTCTTATACATGTGCACACATCACAGCGCATCAGAAAGGGCACCACCTGCAGTCCCCTACCCCAGAGCAGCATGGCCACACACAGCCAGTTCCCCAGGGTTTCAGATGCCAGCACACAGGGCATCTGAAGAACCAGCCTGAGCCACAAACTGAGTAAATGACTCCAGCAAAGGAAAGACAGAAGTAACAAGGAACACACAGACACAGGAGTCTACTTAGACCAAGACAGCAGGTTTGCTTCCAGGAATGGTAGGT